AGGGCTAAAATTAAACATTAAATTATGTCAAACAGCTTTTCGTTTGATGTACTAATTACTAAACAACGCCTCAATTTATTGATATCTCTGAATAAGAAATCAACAAGTCCAAATAGGGGTGGCCACTTTTTGAGCGAGCCCATTAGGCTCGACTTGGTTCATTTTATGACTTCTCTTTGCCTCATGTGGAATGATTACAAGAAGGAGATTAGTTTAAAAATAGGTCAAGAGTGTAGAAATAGTGGGTCTTCCACCCTAGCTGATTTGATAAATGCACTTTAAAGGAAGGAAATTTAAATTACTGTATTGGTACGACGGAGTATAAAAGATTTTGAAGTTAGGTCAAACGGAAGAGGCAGAGATTGAGAAGAAGCAATCTTCTTTTGTCTTTGTCTCATGGCTGAGCCTTGCTTGTCAGGAGAAATCTTTGATTCATGGTCGGAGATGGTGACTAAGTCGAATCTCCAGAGCAAGGATCATTAACTACACTCTTTAAATTTCTTACTAAACTTTGAGCTTTTGTGCTTATGAATAGAGCCGGCTCGGCAATTCCCAAACCAAGCCAATTTTCTTTAAATGCGTAGATATGATCGTTTGAATGAAAAATTAAAATATACAAATATTTTGATTTCAAGCTTAACAAACGTGAAATATCCATTTGAAAAATACAATAATTAATAATACATTATTACAGACAGGCCTCACAAATCGGGTCGTGAAACTCAATGAGTTTTTGTGGCTAGTCCACTTCCGCTCAGCTCGCAAGCGACCAGATTCAACTGCCACCCATAAGTTCAAACTGAAAAAATAAACCTTATACAAGTAGCATCAAAATATAAAGAGAATGACATTTTCCATATATTCTCATAAGTCCAAAACATTAATCCAGGATTAGACTAAGTTTTCGATGCCTGGAGCTGCTTCTACATCTGCTCATCTTCCCTATTACATTATTTAGAAGTGGAACACAGAGTCCCTGAGAATCATCAGAGTACTTTGATGCATCAGGCTGAGACCTTAGGCTCCCATGTTGTTGGCCGATGACCGTGTTTGGGCAATGCATGTTTCCTCTGTTCCCTAGTCCGATTCCAATTAGCCTGCCTAGTGATACACTTTGGTCCGTGAAGAAAGATGCTGTGGACTATAAGACATCACAGTGGAAACATTGCCACCAAAATTTCGAGTTAAACGAGAGACTGTAACATAATTTCTACTTTGTTTGCTCATTGGTAAAATTCAGTCACTTGTCTCTCTTGTTTAGTCAGTTCATCAAGTATCACTAGCTAGAATCCAAGATTTAAATCATTAATTGCAATAATATATTGAAATATTAGATCACCATTTTTTTTTAAGAATTATAATTAATTCGAAGGGGAAAGAAGGGGCCTTGCACATAAACTTGAATACGTTAACTCAGCTTTCACTTGAGCTTGTGACCAACTATGAAAAACATAGAAGTTTATCGTAATATGTGGTTCATATAGAGTAAAACACACATCTACTAAAGTAAATACGTCAATGTCAGGGTGAAGTGAATGGAGTAGAGCACAGCTAAATGAAATGACGGTACAAGGGTATTTTACTATCTATTTGCCAATGACACTTATTAAGTATGGGCATGGGGGTAGAGCCCTGCGATACAGTACAGTACAGTACAGGAGTATTTCTAGATTTTTCCTTAAAGTTATGATGTAACCCTATTATTCATACATAATAAAATCATAGCCGCCTCACTCTCGTGGATGTAAGCCAATTGTCAAACAACACAAATCTCTGTCTATTTTTCTTCCTCGCTGAATACATATTATTCACCGCTGTTGTTGCACAAATCACGACAGAGTGGAAAAGGAAATGCACATTTTCAAATGATGAAATCAAGAATGAGATGTTACCTCGGTGTCAAGATTAGAGGATGACTTCGACGAAAAATTTGATGAAGGACTTATGTGAGCAGCATAAGGTACTGCTTCTGCACTCACAGAAGCTTCCTCCATTGCAAATCTCATGTTCATGTTTCCAAGACCAAGTGGCCATCCATTGGGATTGTTCTGAGGTGATCAACAAACAAATATTGGGACTGATTAACAAAGTCCCACTCACAATTACTCAACTTCTTAATTAATTTTGCTAATCAACACATTATTGAATCAAATTATGAAGAAATAACAGTATTAATTGAAGTTAGATTATAACATACCTGCCTAAGCATGGTGTATCTAACGGAGGTCCTTCTCTGGGAAGAAAGATGAATACTGGTAAGGACCACAGAATTGGAGACGGAAAGTTGGAAAGAGTAGGAAAATGTCGATACGTCCCTTTATTATCAGTTTATTAGTTGTTTACATCATAAATGCCACACTATAGATATATATATTTCGACCGACAATTTAATATGGATACCCATCAAAAAAAAAAAAAAAAAAAAAAAAAAAAAAAAAAAAAAAA